ACCTGAGTTGGATCCAAGTGAACTCGGGTTGGATCCAAGTGAACCCGGGTTGGATCCAAGTGAACCCAGGCTGAATCCAAATGAACCCAGGTTGAATCCAAATGAATCCAAATGAAGCCGAGTTGGATCCAACGAACCCGAATTGGATCCAAATGAACCCAAATAAGGTTCAAATGAACCTGGGATAGATTCAAATGAATACAACTTAGGTTCAAATGAATCCAGGATGGATCCAAATAAACCCAACTTAGGTTCAAATGACCCAGAATGGATCCAAATGAACCCAACTTAGGTTCAAATGAACCCGGGTTGGATCCATATAATTCTGGTTGGATCTAAGTGAACCCGGGTTGGATCTAAATGAACCTGGGTTGGATCCAATTGAACCCAAAATAGATCCAAATAAACTCAGAATGGATCTAAATGAACCCAAGTCGGGTCTACTTAAACCCAACCAGGTTTAAATCAGGTTCACTTGAACCTAATATGGGTCCAAGTATATCCAAATTGACTCAATTGAATCCAAGTCAGGTTCAAGTGAACACAATCTGGGTTCGTTTGAACCTAATTCGGGTTACAGGTCAAAATTGGGTTTACTTGAACCCAACCCAGGTCCAAGTGAACCCAACCTGGGTTCAAATTGGGTTCACTTGAACCTAACACAGGTCTAAATAAACCTAATTTAGGTCTACTTAAACCCAAACCTAGGTTCAAGCAAACCCAAAACAGGGTTCAAGTGAACCTAACCTGGGTTCATATGAACACAAGTTAGGTTTATTTGAATTAATATTTAAAAAAAGAGAGACGTGCTTCCGGAGCAGTGCCCAGGTCAGAGAGCTAGTCCTCCCAATACTAAAGGGTGATTGTTAGTCACGCAAAATTGGAACCCGCAAAGCGGGTTCCTATATATGTAATGTAACCTAAATTTCTATATGGGAGCCTGCTTTTTACTCAATACTAAAGGGTGATTGTCTGTCATGCATCATGTTAACATGTTAATTTTTTAACAGAGATCCCGAGTAAATGGAGCATCTGTTTAATTTGTTAATATTAATGTTAACATTAACGTTAACATTAATGTTAACATTAAATTAACGTTAACGTTAATGTTAACGTTAAATTAATGTTAACGTTAATGTTAATATTAACGTTAATGTTAATTTAATGTTGGCATTAACGTTAACGTTAATATTAACGTTAATGTTAATATTAATATTAATGTTAACATTAAATTAATGTTAACGTTAAATGTTAATGTTAGCATTAACGTTAACGTTAACATTAACGTTAACGTTAATATTAATGTTAACATTAATATTAAATTAACGTTAACGTTAAACATTAACGTTAACGTTAATGTTAATATTAATTTATTGATTTTGGCATAATCAGTGTGATATTAATTATATACGTTTCCAAATTAAACAGTTAATTAAATTATTCTTCATATGCTTTCGCACATAATGATTAGAATTAATGGCTGCATTCCAAGATCTGACCGCTTGCCTGGGATATTCCTTCTTGGCCGTCTTTTTAATGCGATTTTTTTTTTTAATTATTTGAACCAGAGCATTTTTTTTTCAATAAACACATTTGAACAAGAGCAAACTGCCAAAAAGAGATCTTTCATGAATTTGGTTGATTTGGATCGAATTCGGATCTAAATGATACTATTTCTAACACTAACTTGGATTCGATTCGTACTTCGGATCGGATCCGAATCTTTAAAAATATTCACGTGATTCAATCCATGCAGAACACTAAATCTGCATCCAAGATTATATATTCCATTCACATATCCCATATCTGCAGATTTTTGATGATATTCGAATGCCTCTATACCTTTTTTCAGCAATAGGGTCGGTGCTTTTAACAGCAGATTTTGCCTTTAAAACGCCAATACATCATCTGCATCACCATATGGTACAATTAAAGATTCTGCACTTCCACAAACTCCCATTGAGGAAGTAGATGAACCTGATCCTATCGATCTAGGGCAACAAACAATCCTTGTGGTTAGTAGTAATTAATTGCTAATCACTACACTAAAATGTTAGAGTTGAATTGTGAGATGGAGACGGAGGTGAATTAATAACTGACTTATTAGCTTGTTTTTGTTGTTTTCACAATTCTTCAACTTCTTGTTTCGATCTTGTATTTTCTTCTTGCAAGTGCATCAAAGCTTGTCGAAGCAAATTTATTTCTTCTTGCTGTTGCTCTTTCGTTAATTCTAAACTCTGAATGTATTCTTTTCTTCGAACACGAAAGTTTCTAGCAGATATTTTATTATGAAGTTGCCG